AGAAGCAACCACCGGCCAGCATGCACTGAAGTCTTAAAAGGAGTGTGCGGGTGACCTGATGCTCCCCTGCAGTCCTGAGAGTGAGCTCCCAGACCAGAGCCACTGGCCCAAAGCCCAGGACCTGGCCATCTTTCCTGGGGCTGCTCTGTAACAGGAGCACCCTCCGGTATTTCCTGCCATGGATGTTCTTTAAAACACCACTGAACAGACATGCGGCTCTACCTTTTTCGCATCTGCAGGATGCTGCCAGGTCTCTCTTGCTCGCTCGTGTCCTCTCTCTAGCTGCCGCCTCCTTGGGGGAACTTTAGCAATGTGAATTTAAGCACACTTATGCAGGCGAGAGGAAAGGACGCCTGCCGACCGTCTGCGCAGTCCCAGTTGGGAGAACTCTGGCAGGGAGAGACAGAGAGAGCTGTGTATTTATTAGTCAGGCCAGGAAGTCTGGACAATTACCACTGAGGTTTGTTCCCCCCCCCCCCGCTTGGATGCTGTTAAATTGTTGGCAGCGAGTTGCAGAGGCCACAGGGGAGGCTGGGTGTGGGTTTGATCCTGCGGCAGCAGGAGAGATGTATTGCAAACACTCCAGCCAGCTGTCTCAAACAGGAGAGCTCTCACAAATTCTACGGCGAAATAAATCCTGCTGTTGATCATCCCAAGGCCCAGAACTCTCCAGAGGGCCCACCAGACAAAGCAGCTGAACCTGTCCACAGTTGTCAGGAGGCTGAGGCTCGCGTCTGACCGTGGACTGAGTAGTCAGGGCTATCTAGGCCATGCCTCAGCTGTCCTGAAGATTAAAATTGTGCACCCATGCAATTCCAGAGACTCCGCATTCTGTGCCAGGTATATCACATGAACATTTGTTTTTATTTATGTAACTTTATAACTTTCCCCCCACAATAGGGACACAAAGCAGCTTACCTCTCCTCTCTTCCATTTGATCCTCACAACAACCCTGTGAGGTAGGTTAGGCTAGGAGGGAGTCACTAGCAAGCTTCCATGGCAGAGAGGGGATCTGAAGCTGAGTCTCCCAGATCATAGGCGGGGGGGTCTCCAACGTGGTGCCCATGGGCACCATGGCATCTGCCGACACCTCTCCTGGCCCCACCCACCAAGTGTTTCAAGAAAGTGGGTGGGGCCGGTGGGGCTGTTGCCCAGCAAGGCTTCTGATTGGCCATTAGCCGTTGCTCTGGCAGCAGCTGCCACCCACAGCACAGGGATCTTCACTGTGTGACTGAAGGCGAGCTGCAGCCGTCACTTTGTGGCTGGGTCCGCCTCCTGCGGCAGCCATTTCGTGGAAGCTGTTTTGTCCCTGCGCCCACCACACTGTGTCAGAATTCCAAAGATGCTCACAGGTTCAAAAAGGTTGGGGTCTCTGTCCTAGCTGGACACTCTTATGTAGACTTGCAGAGCGGGGGGGGGGCTGTGGATCAGTGGCAGAGGCTCTGCTTGGCATGTATTAAGCTCCCAGGTTCAAACCCCAGCACCTCCAGCTGAAAGGAATCAGGCAGGAGGTGAGGTGAAGGACCTTTCTCTGCCTGAGGCCCTGGAGAGCTGCTGCCAGTCTGAGGCAAGACTGAGTCTGATGGCCCCCCCCCCCCCCATAGGGCCTGATCTCAGGAGACGGCAGCTTCATGTGTGTTCATAATTTGTCATACTCTCTTTCACTATTTCGCCATGTGGTTTATTCTGCCACTTTCCCTGCTTTGCACAATACAAGTCACGAGAAGTGTGATGAGCGAGAAAGATCTCTGAAAATCTTAGTTCAGCAGCCCTTTGGCATGAGAGATTTCATCAAGCGTGGCCCACTTGCTTCCCAGAATACCTTCACAGTAACCTGGAAGTGATACCATAATGCCAGGGGGCAAATGCTCAACCAAATTAACCACAGAGTTTCAAGGAAATACTGGCACCCCCTTGCCATTTTGCCCAGGAAATACTTCTGACCACCCAGTAGTGAGCGACAGGGTGTGTGTGTGTGTGTGTGTGAGTCTCCTGCTGCCAGCAGGAAGCTGACACCCCTCAGCGATGCCCAGCATTGTCAGGCTGGACCCAGAGCCCCTAGACTCCGCAGGTGTGGCTGAGGGGCCTGCTCCGGAAGCCTCACCTCAAGAGGAAGCTGCCAGATGGCCATACCCTGCGGGGCAGGCGAGGCATCAGGCCACTGGTCCTCCAGGTTCTCCCCCATCATGCTGGGGTTGCCAGCTCAGGGTTGGGTCATAGCTGGAGATTGTGGTGATGGGGCCTGCAGGGGGCGGAGTTTGGGGAGGGGAGGAGCCTCAGTGGCGTACAAGGCCCCCTAGAGTCCACTTCCGAAAGCAGCCATTTTTTCTAGTGGAACTGATCTCTGTTGCCCAGAGATCAGTTGAGTTCCCAAGAGATCTTCAGCCACCACCTGGAAGCTGTGGCAACCCTGCCCTACGTGGCAGGAACAGCAGAGCCCGTGGGGGGCACGTAAAGAGGCAGCACAATGGCAAAGGAGCCCCAGGCTGACTGTGCCTGCTCCCTGCTCTGGGATGCCGAGCGGTCTGCTGGGTCTCCTCTCTCCATGAAGCCCTACCTGCAGCCATCCCAGGAACAGGGGGGCTTCTGTCCCTCTCTTGGGCAGAGCACAGGGCCTTGCTGGTTCAACCAGTTCCTATGGTTAATCCTGTAAACTCCGACCTAGCAAACCCCAGACCCTGACCTCAGTACTGCCCTGGAAGGGTGGATCCCCGTTGCGAAGGAGAGAGAACTCTGCCTGCTCCGGGACCCAAAATCAGCTACTAAGACAGACACAATATCTGCACTTGACACTGGGGTCCGGTTTGGGAGAAAGGCAGGTTGGAAATGCTCCAAAAATGAAAACTTCTGCCTGCTACTTTCTGAAATATATTCTCTTTCCGTATTCAATGGTTAATGTGTGACGTGTCTGGCAGCTAATACAAAGAAGGAGGAGGAGGAGGAGGAGATTGGATTTATACCCTGCCCTTCACTCAGAGTCTCAGAGCGGCTTACAAACTCCTTTTTCTTCCCCTCCCCACAACAGACATCCTGTGAGGCAGGTGGGGCTAAGAGAGCACTTGAAAAAAGAACTGCTCTTTCAAGGACAGCTCTCATCAGAACTAGGGCTTGCCCAAGGTCATCCAGCAGGTGCAAGTGAAGGAGTGGGGAATCAAACCCAGTTCTCCCAGATTAGAGTCTGCACACTTAACCACTACACCAAACTGGCTGAAACTGAAAGAGGAGCTGGTGCTTGGACAGGGAAGCAGAAGGACCACAGGGGTCAGGAAGGGCCTTTTTCTGCCTGGGACCCCAGAGGGCTGCTGCCCGTGAGAGCACACCATTAGGGGCTAGGTGGGTCCGATTCACTGAAAGAGAGCTTTCTATAACCTCTGGGGAAGCAGCCATGGCTTAGTGGTGGAGCACCTCTTCAGCATACAGAAGGTCCCAGCCTGGGGTCTCCCACGGAAGAATCTCAGATAGAAACTGGTGGGAAAGACTTTCCTTTGCTGGAGGCCCTGGAAAACGGCTGCCATTCAGAGGGGAGAATACGGGGTCATGTGGATGGGAGGTCTGACTTGTCAGAGTGGGTGGATCCAGGCGGGCAGCCATGTTGGTCTGAAGCAACAGAACGAAGTTTGAGTCCAGGGGCACCTTTAAGACCAGCAAAGTTTCATTCTGGGTATAAGCTGTGTGCATGCACACAAAAACTTGGACTCAAACTTTGTCCTATTGTCAGAGGGGAGTTTCATGTGAGAATATGTGATATTTGAAGTGCTCTGACCAGGATCACCCAAGCTAGCCCAATCTGATCAGATCCCAGAAGCGGAGGAGGCATTTGAATAGGAGACCACCAAGGAAGCCCAGGGTCTCTACACAGAGGCAGGCAATGGCAATCCCTTCTGTTCATCTCTTGCCCAGGAAACCCTACGGGTTCACCTGAGTTGGCTGTGACGTGACGTCACATTCCACTGCCAATATCTGAGGACAACTGAGGGCGGACTTGCAAACTCAACTGTATTTGAAGAAGAAGAGAGAAGAAGAGATTGGATTTATACCTTGCCCTTCACTTGGAGTCTCAGAGCGGCTTACAAACTCCTTTCCCTTCCCCTCCCCACAACAGACACCCTGTGAGGTGGGTGGGGCTGAGAGAACTCTGACACAAACGGCTCTTTTTCAAGGACAGCTGTGCCAGAGCTTGTGACTGACCCAAGGTCACATCAGCAGGTGCAAGTGGAGGAGTGGGGAATCAAACACGGCTCTCCCAGATTAGAGTCCGCGCACTTAACCACTACACCAAACTGGCTCTGTATTTGGGGTTCAAATAGGACTTCCAACTGGAGATATGGGGGCGGAGCTTGGGCAGGGTGGGACCTGGGGAAGGGGAGGGGCCTCAGAGGAGTCTAGTGCCATTAACAGGGCTCTTTTTGTAGCAGGAACTCCTTTGCATATTAGGCAACACACCTGGAATGTATTCATCTCCAACCGCGTGTGAGGCTAGCTTGCCACGCGGTCATGTGAAGCCTCCGAGCTTCGCTCCGAGAGACAATGGGCCAAGCAGATCCTAGTTAGCACCAATCAGAGACCTAGGGTCCTAGCCAGGACCTATGGAACTCTCAGCCACTGTAAATACCCTATCACGGTTGTGGGGGGGTGTCATGGATGTGGGTGTAATGCACATAAAAGTCGGCCTGCGTGCCGGGGTTCCTTGTCTTGTTTCTTTAATAAATGTACGAGCTGAATTCACTGCCTCTTGCTCAGTACATTTCACTGGCGACGAGGATGATATCCTACCTCCCATGAACAACAACCACAAAGCACCGAGCATCGCATCGCACTCCAGCACTGAAGGCAACGCACCCCACTCCGCATTGTGCCCAGCTTCTCCGGTTGCTGCACACCGCTCTGCTTGCTGCCCTGTGTACCACGCCGCTGCCTCCGGGTCCCGCACAGCGCCGTGTTTCCCTTCATCGACTGCCACCCCCGCTCCCGAGCTTCGCCCTCCACATACAGTTGCTGTCATGGCCACCCAGGTGAACATCCCAGCCTTTGATGTTACTCACCCGCAGCAATGGGAAACATGGCTGGAGACCCTGGAGAACCATTTTGCCTACCATGACATCGTGGATGCCGGAAAAAAGAAGGTCCTGTTTCTCAGCTCTTGCAGCATGGAAACCTTCGAGCTACTAAAGGACCTCATCAACCCTAAGACGACCAAAGAGGAAACATATGAGGTATTGGTGAAATCCCTCTTGGATCACCTTTCGCCTAAGCCTACCAAATTTGTGAAGCACCTGGACTTTTTTGCGTGTATCCAGGGCCCGGACGAGATGGCATCGGAGTTCCTGGTGGGACTCCGGAGGGCGGCCACGAGATGTGCCTTCCCAAATTTAACGGACACCCTCTTGAACCAATTCCTCGTGTGTCTCCGCGAACCTAAACTACGGCGGAAACTGGCCAGCCATGACAACCTCGACAAGGCCCTCAGGGAGTCCGTGGCCTATGAAAAGGCGCATCAAGACCGCCGCGGCAAGGTGGTCCATCGCACCCTAGCAGCCCTCATGTCCGACGTCTCCAATGATGATGAGGTTCTACAGGTCCACCAATGCACGTCCCAGTGGCCCCAATGGTCTCAAGGCTCAACCTTGGAAAAGGTTCCCACATCAGCCATGTCCTGCGCCAGCTGCGGGGAAGCCCACGAGCACCGGACTTGCCGGTTCAGGGACACTGTCTGCAGGTCATGCAAAAAAACCCAGTCACCTTGCCCATGTCTGCCATTCGCGAGGACAGCGCCAGTGGACCTCGGCCCACTCTGAATCCACCGATCTTCACACCCTCTTGACCCACCACCAGCAACACCTGGTATGTAACTCCCCCCCCCATAGCCCTAACAAAATGCACATTACGGTGTTAATTGAGGGGTTCCCCTGCAGAATGGAAGTGGACACTGGCTCGTCTTTTTCCATTATTTCAGCTGACACGTTGCGCACTCTCTGTCCACAGGGGGGGCCCTTCTGCAAAAGCCACAGGGGTTAACCTTACCCTATCACAGTTGTGGGTGTGTGTCATGGGTGGGGGTGTAATTTACATAAAAGCCGGCCTGTGAGCCAGGGTTCCTTGTCTTGTTCCGTACCTTTAATAAATGTATGAGTTGAATTCACTGCCTCTCGCGCAACACCCCTAATGTAGCCAATCCTGTAAGAAGAGCTCTGTAAGCTCTTGGAGGATTGGCTACGTTAGGGGTGTGGCGCCTAATATGCAAAGGAGTTCCTGCTACAAAGAGAGCCCTAGAGGCCACCCTCCAAAGTGGCTGTTTCCTCCTGGACAGGTGATCTCCATTGTTTGGACATCAGCTGAAACTCTACACATGGAATTCACTGCCACAGGAAGTGGTGGAGGCTACAAGCATGGACGGCTTCAAAAGGGAATTAGATAAGCATATGGAGCAGAGGTCCATCAGTGGATATTAGCCACAAGGTATAGATAGGGGCTCTGGGGCAAGTGATGCTCTGTCATCTTGGTGCTTGGGGGGGGTCAACCGGGGGAGGGGTTCTAATGTCCTGGCCCCACTGCTGGACCTCCTGATGGCACTGGTATTTCTGGCCACTGTGTGATACAGAGTGTTGGACTGGATGGGCCTTTGGCCTGATCCAACATTGGCGTCTCTTATGTTCTTATGTTCTAGTAACCCCCACCTGGATGTTGGCAAGCAAGGTGCAATGAAATTATCTCTGACACCTTTGGATTGTAGCGATATTTATTTATCCTGCATCAGTTAGTGGTAGCACAGGGTCCCATTAGTGACAAGTCAGGCCTCCCCCCCCCACAGGGTCCCATTAGTGACAAGTCAGGCCTTCCCCCCCCCCTTAACTCTGAATGTTAAATTTTTCATAACGTTTCCAGATACAAGTCAACAAAACATAACGACATCCGTCTGTCTCAGAATTTCAGCAGGTCGATCAAATGTAGGAAGGACTAGCCAACATAAAACGTGTTACTTGTATCATAAAATTACAATGTTTTGCATAACTTTCACAAAGACTAAAATACCACTGGGATATCGCTTCCAGATTTCCCATCTGAAGTGGCCCAAATCAAGCCACTCCAGCCGAAATGACTCAGCTGGAGACGAAATGTCATCCTTCAAAGCAAATGCAAACTTCCACAATTCAACAACAAGAGTTGTGGACCACTTTTGAGTATTTGCAAGTGTTTGTTTTAAAAACCGCAGCTGGAAAAAATGACCACCAGAAACTGCATTGTTTCTAAAAGCGTTTGTGTGTGTGCGGGACAGAGCGTGCACGCAGAAAATGAACAATTGTTGGGAGCACACACCTTGCCCCAACAAGAATGCACTGGGAAACAAGCCCACGTTCCTTTCCAGTCTCCCCTTCCCGATCTTCCTTTTATTTACCGAAGTCAGCCTGTCATATTTGGTGGCTGTTGACAGAGCAAAACCGGGAGACAAAGGAATGCATTCCATCCGCCGGACCTCCTCTCTTGCCTCCTTCCCGCCTCCTTCGGCTCTCCCGCCCTTTGCTATTGCATGACGGGCTGATGTCAAGGTATGTTAGATGCGAAATTAAACGTCAGCCCACTGTACAGCCCTGGCTCCAGCAGCAGAAAATGAGTTGCCGGTCTTGGAAAATAGCCAGTTGCTTGGCTCGGTGTGCTGCATTGCCATGGGATGACAAGCCCACTGAATCACTCCCTCCGTAGATTTCTAGGCCGCGTGAAGCCAAGATAAATTTATTTTTAATGGTAAATTTATTGTCAGAGCTAAGTCGAAACAGCTTTTAGCAAGACGAGGCCTCCTGGCTGATTTCGAACACAGTGGGGTCACTGCTCTTGGGGCTGGGAACCTGCCAGGGGTGAAATGAGCCGGACAGAGACGCTGGTCTGGATAGAATCTGATCTGTCCCTCTCAGATCCTCAAAATGCTTGTGGATGGATTGCATGTAATGGGTACACTGCAGCCCTTATGGGGGCCTCCAGACTGCAGTCCTGGCCTCTCGGTAGGAACCCCCCAAAATTGTACATTTATGCATTGCATTCCTGTGCTTTTGTTTGTTTGTTTATATCCCACTTCTCTCCCCAGTTGAGACTCTAAGTGGCTATTAGAACCTCACTCTCCTTTCTTGCAACAACAAACCTGTGAGGTAGGCCAGCCAAGAGTTCGTGATGGGCTCAAGGTCACCCAGTGAGCTTCCACAGTAGAAGTGGGGATTCCAGCCTGAGTTGCCCAGGCTTCTAGTTCATCATTCTGTCCAGCTCCCTGACTGTCTTCTCAAGTGTGTGGGTCTTCTTGGTGTTGGCCCCCTTCTGGATTCTGATATCTGGATATCCGAGAGCCAGTTTGGTGTAGTGGTTAGGAGCGGGGACTCTAATCTGGGAGAACCAGGTTTGATTTCCCACTCCTCTACGTGCAGCTGCTGGTATGACCTTGGGTCAGTTACAAGTTCTCTCAAAGCTGTTCTCTCAAGGACAGTTCTCTCAGAGCTCTCTCGGCCCCACCTACCTCACAGGGCATGTCTTGTGGAGAGGGGAAGGGAAAGGAGATTTGTAAGCTGCTATGAGACTCCTTTGGGTAGTGTAGGGCGGGGTATAAATCCAATCTCCTCCTCCTCCTCCTCCTCTACCTCTTCTTCTTATAAGAACATAAGAGACACCAATGTTGGATCAGGCCAAAGGCCCATCCAGTCCAACACTCTGTGTCACACAGTGGCCAGAAATACCAGGTGCCCTCAGGAGGTCCACCAGTGGGGCCAGGACATTAGAAGCTGTTGACCCCC